AGTTCTCACTAAATTACCCAGATTAGCCTCAAACTTGTGGTCTTCCTGTCTCAGTCTCCCTGGTTGTTGGAATTAGAGGTGTGATGTTAGTTTTTTTTTTTTTAAGAAAACTCCTTATAACTCATAAATATTTTGATAAAATGCAATTTATGATATCTGTTTCACAATAATCTTGAACAGGGGTCAGGGGAAGTGATATAAACAAAGATTAACCCTGAGTTAATAAATATTGAAGCTGTGTACATGGAGTTAATTTTTCTATTTTCTCTATTTTTGCATGGGTTGGACATTTTGTAAAATAAACTTATTCCTTAAATAAGGGAGACTATAAAACTGATGGGAAGCTCTGATGACATGATTTGGACTTGGTGATCTTCACTGTAGGTTATGTGGCTGGGTCACCTGCTGAGAAACTCCTTATGTATTTTTAGGAGATACATTCCCTTGGTTAGATTTCTCACAGAAAATTTATTCTAATCTTGCCCAAAGCCTGACCCTCAACTTTCTGGGGGACAAGCACATGTTCATTCAATGCTCCTTTTTCAATTAATTCCTGCCCTCAGTTGCACAGCCCACATCTTTTGTTTTGCCTTTTTCAGAAAATAAGGTTCCAGTCTTCTGTGTATAACACTTATAATTAGAAAAAAAAAGGGGGGGGGTTTCCTAGAAAAAATATACTTGAAAAAAAAAAAGGGTGAGGACCTAGGACTCAGCTTGCTTCCTAAATAGTTCACAATTAATTTTCATTTTAGTCCCTTCATTCTTACTTTCAGGGTTACCTGGTGTCACCCATTCTTGAACCTTTTAAGGATTTTAAAAAAATTAACCTTTAATTAATTAATATGTCGTGCTGAGGATCGAACCTAGGGCCTCATTCATGCTAGGAAAGTGCTATATCACTGAGCCACAACCCTAGCCCCAACTTTTTAAGGATTCTATGATGAAAAATAGACTTGTTCTTGTCTCTTGCAATAAAATTTGGCTTTGTGGATTTGATTAACATTACTACTTATCCACTTTTCAGTTTCCCCAATTTTGTACTTACCTCTTCCATCATTATTCCTGTGCATAAAAGTGTTTTTATTTTTTAAAAGAAATTCTTATTTTAAAGTATTTTTAGTTGTAGAGGGATACAATGCCTTTATTTATTTTTTAATGTGGTACAGAGGATTGAACCCACTGCCTTACACTTGCTAGGTAAGTGTTCACTGAGCTACAACCCAAGACCCTAAAATAAATCCTTTACTGTAGCATCAGTGCAGTTTTTAGAGGGAGCAAAAGCAGAAATATATATTCAATATATACCAAGCTTATCACCCTTTTAAAATTAAGTGTTTATTCTCCACTTCTGTGAAGGTAAAGATCTCATACATTCAATGTTTTTAGTGAAAATTTTCTTTACATTTAGGATGTAATTAGGTTAAAAAATGGAGTTTTACTTGGTGATTTTTGTTTTGGTAACTCTTCAGTATTAGAACTATGGATACATTAGGGTTTTAAGCAACAGGATTTTTTTTTTTTTTGTGTGTGTGTGTGGTACTAGGGATTGAACCCATGGACACTCAACCACTGGGCCACATCCCCAGCACTTTTAAATTATCATTATTTTTAAAAACTTTTGAGACAGGGTTTTGCTAAGTTGTTGCTTAGGGCCTTGCTAAATTGCTGAGGCTGGGCTTGAACATGTAATCCTCCCACCTCAGCCTCCCAAGCCGCTGGGATTACAGGCATATGCTGCTCCCAGCTAACACTAATGGGTTTTATTATCTATTATTTATTATCTGACTCATAAATTCCTTAAAAAGTATGCCTACCAAACTTAATACTTTATGGCAATCTATTCCAGTTCTCTTTTAAATGTACAGAAATGTCTTTTTGTAGTTTCTACCCATGAATTGTAGTTCTATGTCCTTGGATAATTGCAGAACACAATTAACCCATTGTTTACAAAGTAGTCCTTCAAAAACCGCAAAACAAATCAAAAACTTCTTTTTCTACCCAGTAAAATACCTGAAATCTTTTCAAATGCTTTCTCACTAGATTCATTTTAAATGTTCTAGAAACATCAAAATATTCCTGGATGTCAAATTAGTAATTTGAAATTTCTTACACTAAGACAGATTTAATCAGGGGTTTTAAAAGTTAGTATSAGGATCATAGTAATATTTTGGGGTGACAATGGTCATGTTGAAAATGGACTGAAGAAGGTAGAGTTTAGAAGCAATCTGTTTTGGGTTCCATATAGAGGTTTCTTAACTTTCATAACAGAATGTTAATTTGTCACCTCCTCCAGCAAGCTGTGTCTGAAGGTTTTGACTCTCCAACTAGCTAAGCTATCTAAACAAAACATCAACATTTCAGGATGGTCTAGAACTTAAACTGGAATTTCTAGCTTGATAGATTCTGATAAAACACTAACTAAAGAAGTGATATTAAGGGATATACTATATGGTTCTCAAGCAGGGCTGAGGATTCTGATTTCAAAGTCCAAACGCACAACAAAGGAATATTTTCCAAAAGGATATATATGCATCATAAATGATCAAAACTTTATACTCTAGAAGAGAACATTTCATCATTAAGCATCAAAGCACAACTACCTCCATATGTGCACACATGGGGGAAGAGTGTGGTCTGTGAAATTTGTTGGTCATCAAATAAAAGGTTCTCTTATAAAAAATTATGGAAAATCACTGCCAATTTCCAGACACATTACATTAAGTTCTGTTCTTAAATCATGTTTTATCATCTGAAAGCCAGATATACAGTTTTATGCTTTATAGAAACAATTTTAACTGAATACATCCTAAATGTTTTCATCAACAAACAATATAAGAAGTGGCCATATAAAACTATTGCTAATTTTCTGTAGATACTGAATCTGAGAAATAATGCTTTCATTTATAACTTTTGTATGATAAACCATAGTTCACATTGGAATTTGTTACTAGAAAATTTTATCTCTTGAATTCCTTGTCTATTTTACTAGATATGTAACCATTTTCCAAAACATTCTCTGTGAAACAAAATAATCCATGAAGATGCTCCCCTAAACAAAAATTCTATGGCTAATTATTTTTGGAAAGCAATGCTTTTACAGGTTCCTAGTGGACAATGTTTTTATAGATTCAGAATGGACATCAACATATTATAGGCCTTCAGAAATTTTTTTTAATTAGTGTGTTTTAATTATACAGAAAAATGGGTTAGGCCCTGAAAAATCTTTAAGGGAACAACAACAAAATGACAAAACACACAACCTTACCTAATCAGAATTTCCTAAATTTATTATTTTTAAGAACAATAACTTCTAAAACACTTTCAAGAAATTCTGAGAAATGCTGGGTAACCCATTGTTCATCTCTTTCTTTTAAACTACTGTGTGGAGGATGAAACCCAGGCCTGGAACACACTAACTAAGCATGCTGCCGCTGACAGTGTTCATCTCTTTACCAGTGAGAGAACTTAGGCTAAGTTCTCAATGATGTTAATAAAAACAAACAATTTTTAACTTCTATTTTAATAGCCTTATTATGTCTTAGTATTTCATTCTGTCTGCAACAAAGGACACCTAAAGTGATAATATTTAGAAGAGAAAGGGAAGGATATGAACACAGAGAATCTTGAAATATATATAAAAATATATTTGTAAGAGTATTTCATATGCTATGCAAATGAACATAGTAATATTTAAGAAATAAAATTAGAAAAATTTTGTTGTATTTATAAGACTTCACACTCTTTCCTAAGTAAATTGCTACTTAACACTGTATTGCTGATTTATCTGTAATTCCTAAATCTACCCATTCTCTCACTTCCATTTTCACTCTGAAGCTTAGGAATCCTGATATACAATACAGAGAAGTACCAGTTTTAAGTTTAATACCTTGGCAAAAAAATAATCAATGCTTATCAATTAAAAATGTTTTGTGTTGAACTGAGGTAAAACTTCATGCCAAAAGATTTGGTGTATGCATATGGGAATTGCCTAGGTAAGTCTAAACACTTGGGAGGATAATTTGTGCAGAATTTATTAGTCATATGATCCCGGACAAGTTCATTTCTTTTGCTGCTGGGGTTGAACCTAGGGCCTTGCACATGCCAATCAAGTGCCCTACCCCTGAGCTATATCTCTGGCTTTTTTTTTTTTTTACTTTTAGATGAGTCTCACTTAATTGCTCAGACTGTCCTTGAATTGGGGATCCTCCTGCTTCAGCCTCTCAAGTAGCTGGGATTACAGGCGTTGTGCCACCTTGACTGGCTTTAAACAAGTTTCTTAATCTTTCTATACCTCAAATTCTTCTTTTTATAGGAACATTGTATGGCTTAAACAAATTATTTATCGTTATCTAGAAGTGTTTGACAGTGAGTGCCAGGCATGGTGGTGCATGGCTGTAATTCAAGTGGCTCAGGAGGCTGAGGATTGTGAGTTCAAAGGCAGCCTCAGCAACTTAGCAAGACTGGAAGCAACTCAGCTAGAACCTGTCTCTCTCTTTATATATAGGGTTTGGGATGTGTATCAGTGGTTAAGTGCCCCTGAGTTCAAACCCCTATATCCCCTCCCCCCCAAAAAAAGTTTGATAAACCCTTGAAAGTGACTGTGCTCACTGAAAAACAAACAAACAATATATATATATATATATATATATATATATATATATATGTATAATTGTTTTTAAGAACACTAACTTATAAAACACTTTCAAGAAATTTTGAGAAATGCTGGGTAACCCATTGTTCATCTCTTTCTTTTATAAATTTAGTGAATAGGTAAGATAAAGAAAGGATAAAGCCTCTGGGGGGGTGGGCGTGTCTCACAATTAGCAGTCAGGAAAACCCTATGTAGGAGAACAAGAAGGACCAGTCTAAGAGTTGGTAAGGAAATGGAAAGTTGTAAACAACAGAATCATTATAATCTGGCATGAATGGTCAAAATACTGATTACTGAGAAGGTCTGGGAAATGTTTACTGGAGAGAGGGATTTCCCATTCTCATCAAGCTCATGGCTTCTCCATACTCAAATGTTTTCTTTTCTTATGTCCAGTAAGATTGGAGCTCACCCTGAAAGCTTTGCCACACTCCTCACATTCATAAGGTTTCTCTCCAGTATGAAGTCGCTTATGTCCAGTTAAAGCTGAGTACTGACGGAAAGATGTGCCACACTCATAGCATGTATATGGCTTTTCACCAGTGTGGATTCTTTTGTGTTGCTTCAGTACTGAATTATGATGAAAGGCCTTTCCACAAATCTCACATGTGTAGGGTCTCTCTCCAGTGTGAATTCTCTGATGATTGGTCAAGTTTGACTTTCCACTGAAAGCTTTGCCACATTCCAAACATTTATAAGGTTTCTCTCCAGTGTGGATTCTTTGATGGATGGTAAGGCAGTGCCTATCCTGGAAAGTTTTCCCACAATCTCCACATGGATAGGGCTTCTTCCCTGTGTGTTCTAGTTCATGAGCCCTGCGATTACAGTTATGACGGAAGGCTTTTCCACACTTCTCACACTTGTAAGGTTTCTCCTCATTGTGGATTCTTCTATGCTTCCTGAAATCTGCCTTGATACTAAAGGCTTTTCCACACTGAGGGCACCCAAAATGTTTCTCCTGAGTGTGGACTCTTCTGTGTTTGCTTAGGTCTGAGCTTTGACTGAAGGCCCTCCCACACTTGTTGCACTCATAAGGTCGCTCCCCAGTGTGGACTCTTTTGTGTTTGGTGAGATCTGAACTCCCCCTGAAAGCCTTCCCACACTCCTCACATTCATATGGTTTCTCCCCAGTATGGATTCTGCCATGGGCAATAAGGGAATGCTTAAACTGGAAGTCCTTTCCACAGTCATTACATTTGTAAGGCTTCTCCCCAGTGTGGACTATCTGATGCACACTGAGACGTGTCCTGGTCTTGAAGGCCTTCCCACAGTCCTGGCACTCATAAAGCTTCTCTTCACTGTGGATTTTTTTATGTCTGCAAAGAGCTGATCTGCTGTTGAAGGCTTTCCCACAGTGTGTACAGTTAAAAGGTTTCTCCCCTGTGTGGATTATGTKGTGTACAGAAAATTGATTTCTGGTCTTGAAAGCTTTCCCACACTCTTTACAGACATGGGATTTCTCACCAGAATGAATTTGATCATGGAGAATTAGGTCTGAATGCCAGCTGAATTTTTTGTCACATTTCGCATATTCATAAAGTTTTTGCTTTGTAAACACTCTATTATATGAAATATGTTTTGAGTTTGAATTAAAGATTTTTTTAAGTACCTTCTGGTTCTTTTCCTTTTTGAAGGTCACTTCCGTAGAGCCTTCTCTCACTTCTCTCAGTTCTCCCCTTACGAATGTTTCCCATTGATTTTCTAGTTTGACATCCTGCATACAAACCTCTCTAACCTCAGGATCCTGGGAAACAATATTTAGAAGACTGTTACATTTCACCCAGAAGACTTCTCTGTTTTCAAATACCTCTTGTTCTGAAGGTGCCTTCTCACTCCCAGGCCATATCCTGCCTGTTGGTACTTAACAGAGAAAATAAGAAAATAAGATAGGAGAGGTGAAGCAATGTGAATCTGTTTGAAGAGTAAATGACATAAAAAAATAAAAACAAATTAAAAAATTTTCATAAACACAAAAAAAGAGCAAATAACTTTCATGCTAGAAAAGTTACTACCATTGTGTCAAAGGTCAGGACATTATATGACCATTTTGTCACATTAAAGGGAAGAGACTGAAAGCTTCTCTATCATTCACCTGGGTAGGCTGAAACATTGAGAAGTATGAAGATATTTTAAACTTGGCAAACTTTATATAAAATCTTTACAAAAATACTCATCTTCTACAATCTCCTAGTTTAGTGAGCAGCAACTTCATACACCTAGCCACACTTCATACACAAGCCAGAAAACTGAAAATCATCTTTATTTCCTTCTCCCTCCCCTCATATTTACTCAGCTAACATTTTACAAATTCTAATTATGAGGTGATCTGCTAAAGGGGTGCTGAAATCCTGATGCAGTCCCCTTTAAAAGAAGTATCTGCTTTGATCCTAAGAGTGGGTTCTGGATGGCCATATTTCTGCTGTGTGACTGTCCATTTGGGTGGGAAGGATTAGAGCTGGGTAACACTTTGATCCAAACCAAGCTAGATTCTCTCATCTTAGCCTTTGGAATTGTGATCTGAGTGCAGGTAAGATCAGGCTCTGAGAGAAGTGGTGGCAGGAAAGTATATGACACAGGGGAGGGAATGTTCTGCCATTTGCTCTGAGGGGCAAAAAAGATCAATTTGGCAGAAAAGAATGAAGAGAAACAGTTGGAGAGATAGGCCTGATTTAGGTGCCATGGCATACCCTGAATAAAGAGTTTATGTTCTTTTGCTTAGAGTAAATTTTTATTCTTGGCAATCAAACAATCCAAAATCAATCTCCTTTCTCCATTTCCACCTGTGCATTCTCACTAGCTATCTGTAATACCCCTCAAATGTCCTTTAGTCTGGTTCCCATTTAACATATACTCCACATTCCTTCCAAACCATTCTTTCTAATAATGTCACTCAACTTAAAATACTTCAAATGGTACTCCAGAGTCACCCAGAAAGAAAGGAAGTAAAGCATACAGACAAGAGCCCTAGCTGGGCTCAGATTCTAGTACTGATACCTAATAAATGTGTGAACTTGGAAGGATAACTTCAATTCTCTTGAGTCAATAACTTTATCTATAAAATGGGATCATCTGTCCATAATTACATGAGTTAATGTATATAAAACACTTGCCATACTGATGTACTTAACCAATGTTAGTTACAAAGTTCAAGGCATGTAGCTTATCAAACACTCATAGAAAATCCTTCAAACCATGATCTTGCTTTTTTCTACTGCTCCTGAACTTTCTCTACAAATTACCCTAAGTTCTTTGCTCTGGTCATACTCTACTAGTCCAAGTTTATTTGTTTTATTCCACAATACTTTCTCACATGTTATTCCCTCTGCCTCAACTGCTTCTCTCCTCCTTCAACTTATTGCTCTCTGAGCCCTGCAATAACTCATATACAAAGAGGAAAGCAATTTTCTGAGCTTTTTAAAAGGGCTAAACTGCAAATGGTTATTAGATAGATTGGAGGGGACCAATTAGATAATGAAAGAATACTACCCATGTTTGTTGCTTTTGTTTTCTTTTTCTTGAGTTGTAAATGGATTTCATTTCTGGGGCCTTCAGGATGGATGAACTACCACTAAGAACATGCTATAATCATTTTGTACATGGAAGACAATACGGAACTAAAAGCTTCATCATCACTCACCTGGGAAGGAGCAGCTCAGGAACCTCCCGTACTGTAGATCCTGAACACATGGCTCAGCTTCTCGCTCCAGATGGGAGATCAAAGGAGGTTTAGGAAATGAAAATCCTGGTTGCAGAGAAGGAATGAGACTGTGTAGAACAACAAGGAGCTGTTCTTACACTTGGCCCTGATCCCTCTGTTTGTGTAAGGAACAGGAAAGAAATACCTACTTAGGTAGAGAAAAGGGTTTCTTTAGCATTCTGGAAACAGGTACAAGGATTTGTTTGGAAACTGTCTTAGAAAAGTCTTAGAAGGCTACTATTTTAGGCTCCTAGAAGGCAGTTCACAACTAGGAGCTGAACACATGCCATTTAATGGAAAAACTAGGGAGCTGAAGAAGCAAGAACCTAAGGAAAAGAGAAACTAGGTATCTCCCTTTCACCCAGACAGAGTACCATTCCAAAGAATTAGAAAACAATAACAAAAATGCCTAAAATGTTACCTGTTGTACAACAAAGGTAAAACAAAACTTTTATTTTTAGGCAAGATCCTGATAGTTAAGAAAGAGGACTCTAACTTTCAATATGCGAGCCTATACACAACAAAATGAGCATTTTTTTTTTTTTAAGGATGGAGAAAGCACTAAGCCAAGTGCAGAAAAGGTTCTTACCAAGGGATACCATGTTTCCATAATTTTCCAACATCACATCTTTGTAGAGATGCCTTTGAAAATAGGTCAGACTCTGCCACTCCTTACTAGTGAAGTTCACAGCTATATCCTCAAATGTTAGCGATGCCTGAAACAATAAGTTCCTGTTGTCCAAGAGAAAACCCCACAGTTTCCTCAGGAAACAGAGACAGAAGAAAGGAATTTATAGGGAGAAGGTTTATAGAAGTGAAAGACTGTTACTTGCCGCAGTCTGGCTGGGCACAAATCACCAGCCACTGAAGCAAGAACAGACTTTATTTTTTTACTGCAAGAAAAAAACCTCACACAAGCTCCTGGGGAATCCTCCCGAAAGCCAGGAGGCTCCTGCAGGAACTCCCCACCGGAAATATCTCCCCGGGAAATCCCTCCTCCTGCACTTCGCCAACCAATGGGAATTCCCGGGGAATCCCTGTGAGAACTAAAAATAGCGCTAGAACTCAAAAGTAGCGGCAGAGGCGGATATTAACGCCTTGCCTGTCAATCAATACTGTTGGCAAAATGCCAGGGGCCATACAGACTGGGCTGTGGCTCTCAGCAGTTACTGGTCGATATTTAGAAATGAAGTGAAAGGGAACACAGGCTTTTAATAATTGAAAAACAACAAAAGAGGAAACAATCTACAAGTGGTTTGTTCTCCAACAAAATGTTCCTTATGAGAGGGAGCATCTTGGTTTGAGATTTGTGTAACCATATAATGTAGTGAAAATAAGGCCAGGGGCTGGGGGTGTGGCTCAAGCGGTAGCGCGCTTGCGTGGCATGCGTGTGGCCTGGTTGGATCCTCAGCACCACATACAAACAAAGATGTTGTGTCCGCCAAAAACCAAAAAAAAAAAATATTAAAAAATTATCTCTCTTTTTTTTTTTTTTAAAAGAAAGAAAATAAGGCCATATTTAGGAGGTATTGAAATAGTTTCAGGAAGGATGAAAGGTGCCTCAGCTCACTTGGGACCAGCTCATCAGTGTGGCATCTGTTTCTAGTAGGTTTTCTTGACTTCCATCTTTAGTGAAGACAGGATATTGAGAAGCTGGTAGAACTGAGGGAAGAGAAATATGCAAGAGACAGTTTAGCATAACAAAACCTGCTTTAATCTCTTCTTCACCAAATGCAGAAGCACAGCAGCTCTAACCTAGGGGTCAAGCCTACTGTCATATGATATTCTCTTCTCTACTATTTCTCTAGGCTTAGCTTTCAGTGTTGAGCTATCAGCACTGGCATGGCAGCCAAGCCAGCTTTAAGTACATTCTCTCCCTCTCTCACTTACTACATAATTTTTTTCTGGTTTGTCTTTGTCTTACCCCTCCTCAAATAGATCAGGTAAAAAGGCTTAAATTACTGATTCTCAGCTTGTACAATAACATTTCTTTCTGTATCTGAATACTGAGGTCATTTCCTCCAAAAGACTTGTGGGGAGAGAAGGGACATATGGGGGAACAGGAGATGTTGAACAGTAATATCCAGTAACAGGTCAAGTTTGTTTCTACAGGTAACCAAATGGCTGGTCTAACTTGTTAGTTTATTAGAATAAAAAATTTCCTTGTTTTGCCAGAGAGAAATCACTTTTTTGCTGATACTGAACCCTTTTCTTACTAATTTCCTACTACTAAGCCATCTTTCCCACATGAATGTGGTATTGCATGCTTGGCATTTTTTTTTCAGTATTTTTTAGTTGTTGACAGACATTTATTTATTTGTTTATATGTAGTACTGAGAATTGAATCCAGTGCCTCACACATGCTAGGCAAGTACTCTGCCACTCAGCCACAACCCCAGCCTCACACTTGGCATTTTAAAAGGTAAAAGATTATATAAACCTAAGAGAAATGATAGTATTTTTAAGATGAAAAAGGAAAGCTTATCAAAATGTCCAAGAGTCTAGGTATAATCTATATGAATTTGGCAAGAAGTACAGCTTCATATTATTAATTAATGGGGTCTTGCTTTATTTCTTGAAGGTCATTTCAACCTTTCGTAGCTTCAATGTTTAAGGTGACTTACGTTTCTTAACAGTTTATCCCTAAATTAAAGTCTGAATGAATTCTTTTTGCTATTAACAAACCAGCAATGTTGAAGCCATCTGTTGCTAAGAATCTAGGATCACCTTTGGTCTTAGGCATCCAAAATTATTATTCAAATTTGACCAGAACTCTCACAGAAATTTCCTAAGAACACCCACTTTGGTCTAGGTTACTCTTGAGCTTTTGACCAAGACTGAGGCCATGTCTTAATCATGGTGGTTCCAGTCACTTTTTCCACTGTCTCTCTATAAAATTGCCAAGTTATTCTGCCTCAGCCCCAAGCTCACCTAGATAGTACAGAGCTCATAGCAAATATATATTTTGCCTATAATGTTATATAGAAGTTCTTTTCCTTATAACATCAACAAACTTAAAGCTCTCAATTGGCTTTTTTTATCAACATTTTATTATGAATGTTTCCAAATATCCAGAAAAGTTGAAAAATGTAAATATCCATATATCAACCATTTATATTCTATGATTAACATTTTGCAGCATTTGCTTTTTTATCACATATCTATTCCTCTATCTGTACTTTAATCTGTTTTGATACATTTCAAAGGAAGTTGCAAACATCAGTAACTTCACCTCTAAGTGCTCTAGCATATATATTACTAACTGGAGTCAATATTTAATTTTTTTAGATAGAATTTACATGTAATGAAATATACAAGCCTTAAGTGTACCACTGGATGAATTTTGACAAAAGCATACCCCTATATAACTCAAATTCTCCTCCACATACATATTGGGCTAGTTTCTCTGTTTTTTTTTTTTTTTTTTTAAATCCATATCTCTCGCCGTGCACAAAAGTTAACTCAAAATGGATCAAGGAGCTTGATATTAAATCAGAGACACGGCATCTGATAGAAGAAAAAGTTGGTTATGATCTACACGCTCTGGGATCGGGCTCCAAATTCCTCAATAGGACACCCATAGCGCTAGARTTAACAAATAGAATCAACAAATGGGACTTACTCAAACTAAAAAGTTTTTTCTCAGCAAAAGAAACAATAAGAGAGATAAA